AATATCAATGATACTTGTGTAAACTATGTCCATTATTTTTCTGATAATAAAATTAAGCTATCAAAAATATATACTTTGTTGACATAAACTAGCCTATCAATTTTAAACCTTTCATTGATTTCTATTCCATAGTGTATTATAAATGTTAAGTCCTTAAAGTTACAACATAATGGTATCTGTTTGGCATTTATTTTGTTCTAAGTAGCTGAAGTATAAGCATGCAGAAACATAAAAAAATAAGAATAATTTGCCAATAAATTAGGTCTTTTTCTTCAACAAATAGACATGTATAATAGCAACGATTAGTTTGTTGTATGAAAGGAATGAAAAGAATGTTTCCAACAAAAGTTAATTTCCGTCATAAGTTATTGTCTAGGAATACATTACAAGAAAAATGTCAAAAGTAACAATAATTCAGCGCATGCATATAGAACTTAAAACGATGCTTTCTTGTTGTATCATGTTTTAAGATACCTGAATTAATTTTGTAAGAGCTATATGTTTTTAAACCTAATTAGATTTTGGAATTTATAGGAAAAATATTTGTTGCTAAAAACTGCACATAAAAGTCTAGTGGTAAAAAGCATCTTGGAATAACAATGAAAGTATGGACTGATTTCTTTGAAAAGTGGCCACACTGTGATCAACATCAGAGGATAATTCTTAAAGTGAGCTGACAGCTTGGCACACTGAAAGCAAATGGAGTGTGTAAGGAAGAGTAGGGAATAAAGGGAGAGGAGAGATTAACATTATTTTTTTGAAGATCTTTACTGTTGACTAGAAAAATAGAGCTTCATGGGTCCTCGTGTTACCTAATTCCCATTGTGCATGAGCCAACAATATAGACTGAAGCATCTACAGATCAAGGAGATGAAATATCAATAACAATGAAATGAAAAATCAGTTATGGAGAGAACCAATCAAAAGGTCAATAGCAATAACTGACTTTTGTAATAGACCTAATAATAACTTCAATATTATAAATTACTGTATTAATTTCAGTAGTGAAAAGGCTCTTATGGTTAAGTTTGTAAAAGTTAAAAAAAATTATAATAAAATGCTTTTATTTATTGAGTAGCTCAAACTTATGGTTTTAAAGCAAGATTTGTGAACCAGTCACAGAACAAAACCTTTCATAGACATAAACATAAGAGATATGCATTACTGTAACAAATTGTGCTGCATGTTTTCTGCAATATTGTGAATCCTGTTATTTACATCTGTGTATCTTTTACTATGATTATACCATAATGAAAGCAATTAAGCAAAAAAAAACACCACAAAACCAAACCAACAAACAAAAAAATTGAATACATATTTTAAGTTAAAAGTAAGAGATGTATTTTAAGGGGATCTGGTTACTGTTTAACTGTTTGTCAGACTCTTAACTATTTTTACTCTGAAAGCTTACATTTAATTAATTCCTTCCAGTAGTATATACAAGCATGAAAACAAACATAATGTCTACTTTATTTTTACTGATCAGACTGTAAAAAGCAAAAAGAAATGTCATTTTGAATAATATACATTTAATATAGATATTAACTGCATATTTCTAAAATGAAAGCCGAATTATTTGGATAACCTATAGATATAAAAATAACTTGGTGAAGTCATAATGGCTTCATCTGCTTCACTGTGGTTGAAATGTTTATAATCTTACTTGAAAGGCCTGCTACAGTGTTTCTGAAATCACACAGGGTGTAACAAATCTTGACTCTGGAAATATATACAAAAGGCTGGGGTTTTTGGGGGAGGTTGTTGTTGGGTTTTTTTTTGGTTTTGTTTTGGTGTTTGTTTGGGTTTTTTCCCCACAAGTAAAAAAAAGGAATCATAGAAAAAGCAGGTAGAAATTATTTACAGTTAGAGTAGTATAGTAGAAAGCAAACTCTATCTTCAGATTTTCCATTTCCACTTTAACATACCCTCTTGTGTCAAAGTTTGAAAAGAGTGCATCAAACCACTTCATGCAATACATATACACAGCAGGGGAAGTTTAGATGCTGTAATGGCCTTTCAGTTTGTATTTCCCAGCTTTGTATTTTAAACTTATAAGAAGTCCTGGTTTTCAAGAGAAAGGGGCTAATAGCACTTCCTGATCCTGGCATAGGAACAAATCACATTATCCTTACTCATGAGAATAGTCTAATTAAACACAACAGGAGTCCTCATATGGACATGGTAAAGCAAGCAGTATTTTGATGCCACTCTGGCAAATAACCAAGAATTCTATCTTTCAAATTTGGTTCGGTCCTGATATACATAGTTTCACTATTAAAAACAGTTTTTTCCTAAGATATAATGTAGATATAGGCCAGTACAAAGCACTCCCTATTCACTTCAGTAGTTCCATTATTTGTAGCCAAGAGTCTGTCTTCTAAAATGTTTTTTCAAGCTTTCCCAGTTGAATGACTACACAATCTTTTCACCCCGAAAATAATGTTGTATTGCTACAATTTACTTTGCAACTGAAATAAAAACTAAGCTAAAACTTTAAACAAGCATGTTAGTTTATTTTCTCCCTCATCTGTTTGTTTGTTGCAAGCATAGGAACATGGATACATATTATGTTCTTTGTTTTTTGCTATTCTATTTGAGACCACCTTAGGCCATTTATGGAGAATGGAGGCTGAACAACTATAAGGACTATCATGGAAGAAAGCCCCCATCATCTATTACAAGTGAAGCCAAGGCATCTTCTGGGAGCAAAGGCATTGCTTTCACTTATTTCAGAGGGAAGCAAGTGTTGTGAAAGGCACAGAAAAGAACGAAATCAGATCCTGGCATCAGTCTTGTCTTTGTGAAGTGTAAAGGAGCACATAGCATCCTTCCACAGATACTGTCTCCTGCCACATGTAGTCTGGGCCTGTTCAATGACTGATCTTTCAAGCTGAACTGAAATGGTTATAATTATGCAAATACTGGGATTTGGTAATGCAGAACATCTTTTTGACCTGGGACCAAACTAGCCACCTCATGAATGAAATTATCACTGAAAACCTCACAGTCTTTGTACAAAATATGTGAATATCAAGGAGATCAGACAAATATTATTTGTAAAGAAAACAAATGAATCATATTCTGTAGCACTCCTAGTGTATTTTAATTTTCATTCTGATGAGGTGTTAAAATGGAAGCAAATGAACACCAGAGCTGCAATTACTACAGGGCTGAGATTAGTGTTCCAGAGTTGTTGTTCTTTCAGAATGCCAGTGCTACAATAATGTTCATATGAGTTGATGACTGGCTTACCTCAATGAAAGTTTGCTTATCAAAAGCTAATACTGTTGATTAGAGAAGACAGGTACTTCTTAACAGTGCTCCAGCTTATATAAATAAAAATAATATGATATTATAAAAATTTATTTGTAAAACCAAACACAAGTTTAACAACTAATGGAAGTCTCTCCTATTAAACATTATGTTGAGAATTCACCTTACAGGTTTTTTCCTATACTATATATAGTATATTATGTGATTTCAGCAGCAGCAATGTGTGCCATCAGTTCAAGACCTAGATATACAATTATATAATGAAGGATTTCACAAATACAGCTTCTAAAAAAACTTGTGATTGCAACTTTAACAGAAATTCAATGTGGAGGAAAGCCATGATAGTTGTATATGGAACAGCTGTAGTCAAGAATTACCCCAGCATTTGGGTATATGTGTAAATCATGGGGTCTTCCATGAACAGCAACAGTATAAATCATAGAATAGATAATAAAACCTATTAAACCATAGTTTGTTATCCCAACTTTTCTAAAGAAAGGAAATTTACGTGGTTGTGCTATTGGTCCATTTGTTCCAACACAAAGATGAAAAACAAATCACTGATGTATTTTAAGCAAATTTCACAATGGATTTCAAAGTTACAAAATTATTTTGGAATTTATAAACACCAGTAAGTGGGTAGAGAACCAAATTAATATACCTGTAAAAAAGCAAATATAACTTAGCTCCCTACCCATTTAACAGGCAGCAGCCATGTAATGAATCAGAACAAGAAAACTGTGAGCCAACATGAAGCCTCCAGCCAACCATACTACTTGCAGTAACACACCTCACTATATTGATGTAGATGTGGGAACAATAAGAGGAGAACTGTTGGGTCTTAGCTCCTGAGGGTGTTACAGTTTTTACTGATTGTTCCAGGCTTGGCTCTTGTTTTGCAAAAAAAAAAAATAAAAAAAAAATAATGTATTGCTGAATTTTCAAAAATAGTTAAAGTATAATTAATAACATATTTAAACAAACTTGAGAACCTCTAAACTCTTAAGACATTACCTGGTTGTCAGATAGGATGATTGAGAACGTAAAATATTCCTTTCTGAAATCAAGATGAACATTTTTGGGCACCCTAATTTGAACATTTCCATAATTGGTTGGTTTGTAGACTAGAACAGTAATTTAACATTCCTACATAGTGAAAAGTTTTACTTTTTGGCTTAGCTGCCTTTTAACATTTATTTTTATTTTTATTTTATTTTTAATGGGAAAGAGGCAAAGTAAAGTAAATAATGGAATCTTTCACTGACATTTCCAAGTCAAGGATTTTTGCCTAGGTTTTTCTGGAGAACCTTTATAAATGCTTATGGAACAGGACTTACTTCAGCTAAGGATAGAAACAGCAAGTGCAATTTGAAACACACTACTCCACAAGCTCATCATTATCCACTAGCTGGAGGTTATTGTTCCCAGAACTTTCCCTCTGATATACAAGAGCTTCTCATGCACTACAGTTGAAAGTGTTTACCTCACTGGAATACCCCTTTTTAGGAGTTTAAACCAAGATAGACTGACCAGTAGCAAAGCAGTTAAGCACACATGTCTTCAGTTTTGTTAGTTCTGCTATGGGGTTGGGAATGGAACCTTTGGCCCCTTCATGAGTATACAAAATTTAAGTATACCTTTACTCTGAGTCATACAAAGTTGCTTGTAGACGACGGCAAATTGTGAAGGAACTTCCTTTCAAGAGATCTTTGTGCTTTCTTAACTCCTATAACAAATCTTTTTAGTTTTCTCCCCATCTTCTGCAGCTTTCTGAGATTATGTTGGTTCTGTGATTCCCAGCTAACCACTGTTTTTGTCATGCCTGTGCATCTGGGATATGCAGAGTCCTATGGACCTAAGGAGCTTGCAAACAAGTAAATGTAACATGCTGTATTTACAAGTACATAGAGCTAATGCATCTAATGGTACAGAGCTGAAGTTTTTTCTTTCTTCCTTTGGTGGAGCTTAGAGAAGCTGCTGTGATCCTAGGGGATGTAGTGATCTGAGTCCTGCTGATTCACTCTGTTTATGCAGCTTATTGTCTAAAGCTGGATATAAAGAAGTAAGGGTAATTCAGACAAATTGCCAAATTCTGGGTTACAGAAGAGAGAGGATGAATGGTATTCTGAGACCAGGGGGCAAGATTGGCTGTAAAATTCAACTTTTCGATGACAGTCACTACAAAGCCAAGAGAGAATGTGTTTCTGAACAGGGATGGATTATCTCCAGCGCATGTAAAGCAAATATTCAAACCACAATTTGAATAATTTGAGCCTACTCAAAACATCAAGAGGTACTTCCGCATCTCTGATATAACAGTGGAAAGGCTTGGAAAATATGTTTAGTGCCATAAGCAACCACTGAAAGGAAGAGGGTTCCTAAAACTTTTGTCACCTGGACATTTCTGCATGTAACGCCACCAAAACCAAGAAGAACAGAAGAACCAATAAGAATTCTGGAAACATACCCCTCTTCATGAACAAGCAGCACACAACCTCTCAGTCTGGCAGACCCCTGGGCTTCCTCTGTCCCTCCCCGTGCCCAAAGGGGTAACACCTCAGGAGCTCCTGCACAATCCCCGACATCCTCACTCAAACCTGCTCGCTAAGACCCAAGATGCTGAAGGTCCCTACTCAGCTGTCCTCACACACCAGCGTGGGACCAGCGCGGGGAAGGCGCGGCAGGGACCCGAGGCTGGAAAGCATGAGAACCAGGCGAGACTCCCAGCAGGGCACTGGCCACCCAGCGCTCTGCGGGAGGCGACGCGGGGG